TGAAGCACTCCAGAATACCTGGTAGCATCCATTCAATAACTGATTTCCCAAAAACATATTGTTTGCTATTTATCTAGGGCTTATTAAAACTTTCCCTTCTTTCTATAATTAGAATTTTCTGTTATGAAAAAAACTAAACTTTATTGTCCGAACAGGAAAATATTTTGTGACAGCATTTCATGTAAAATGTATTTTTTTTTTTTAATTCTTTATTTTTCCGTGCATAAGTTTAAACATAACATTCGTTCATGTCTTGCCCCAACGGCAGGAACATGTTTGGAGGGAACAAAGCATAACAGTTGTGGCAAAGAAATTAAATGCACTTTTTTTTTTTTTTTTTTTTAGAGACATCAGGTTTAAACAAGGTGAAAGTCAGAGATGCAGTGACACTGCAGTTAATAAAACATAGGTTGTACTCGCTGACTATATGAGTGAGAAGTATAGCTAGATAAACTAGTGCTTTAGCCCTGTGACTCATTAGGCCATTGAGCATTATAACAGTTAGCTGATTAAACACAGCTTGTGCTAGCTAATATGTGTGTGGTTGGCATGTCATAGAGTTTAGTAATATACATAGGCTTCCAAGTTAACATACAATTGATACGCCGTGTCAGGAGTTAACTAAGTATGTTTGCTGTTGCTTGTGAGCAAGCAATCTATAGTGTTACAGATAGATCATCGATTTTAAAAAACATAGTACAACAAGCTTAATGTGCACCGGGGTTTACTTTATCGAGGTCCCACGGGTTCAGCGTCAGCGGGTTGCTTTCCGGCCTGCTAGGTTGTTGGATCTCCATTGCTTGTGCCTCTGACCTGGATGTAATAGGAGCTGTGTCTCGTCGAGAGGGAGAGTCTGGTGCATATCACACAGCCGGCCCCGGGCTCTGAATGAGCTGACCGCATGCGCCCTCGGTTCCGGTACCTTACAAGGCCGGCAACGGGATTCCCGGTGAGTGTGTATCTTCCAGGTGGTGGGCTGCGGTTTGAGGGGTACCCTCTAAGGGCTCCAGGCCCCGGAAGGCTGATGTGGCGACCAGGCCCAGCCATTAGGTGCGGTGGCTGGATGATGCAGGCGGATGTTGAGGGAGCTCCTGAATCCCTGAAGGTGAGGTTAGTTGCCTCTGGGTGCGCTGCTTATGGCGTGTGTAGCCTGTTGTGGGTCTTAGAGCCGCCATGTTGGTGGTGGGGCACAGCATGCGCCCTGTTGTCGAGCGGGCCTCGTAGGGGATGAGTGGCTGGTCTTTGGCCTCCTCCGGTGGGCGGCCAGGACAACCGCCCCGGCCTTTGGGGAGGGGACCGTGGCCTGTGAGGTGTCACAGAACTGCAGTGTGGCCGCCAGACTTGTGGGCTGGGCAGCGGCCGTCCGCCCCGCTCCACATCCGATTAGGCCGCAGGCCCCGAAGCTTTGTACCACAGGGGCCCCAAAACTCCCTATCTCGGAGTTTACGGTGGTGCCAACCTTCATCCATGCACTTGAGCGGGCAACTCCATTCCCATGGTGTCCTTAGGACCATGATTATTGCTGTTTAAGTTGGATGTAGCAGGAGCCTCGGTGACATGCGACCAGTTAGCATGGCGGTCAGGCCCCCCCCCCACGTAAAACGTATTTAAACTGGGGTGTAATAATTAAAAATGACTGTGGTTTATTAAAATATAACTTTTATTAGTGCCTTTAAAAATACGTTGTTGTAGGTCATCATATTTATGTGTCATTATTTAATTTCTTGTTCAATATCAATGTAGTGATCTAAAGCACATAAAACACTTGGTGTGTCTACTTGAGATACGGAAAAATCATAAAGTAGTAACTCCCAATCTACATAACATGCACAATCTGAATGATAAGATCCTTACTCTTTTTACTTACGTTATTCTTTACTGGAACATCACCCGACACGTACAACACTTCAATGGAATATTTTAGTAGATTAAGTTACGCCCTATGTATTCTTAAAAAGCATGATACTGCTTTCATCAACATGATTATGTAAATTACATTATATAATATCCTGAATAATCAATTTTATATAATAATTCTCACAATGCTTCAAAATATGTTCTTGAGCTTTAACGAAACTGGCCTCTGTATAACAGATACTATTTTACTATATGTATGGTTATAAATCATAAGACTAATAATTGTGCAGACAGTACCCTATGCTAATTACAATGTTCTCCTAAATAATCACGTTTCTTTTCCACCCACACAGAAATAAATGGTGATAGACTGAATGACTGGAATTGAATGTGCATTACACAGATGATCTCAATAAATTGCATTAACTGTACAACAGAAATCAATTGTCTTTGTGTTAAGACATTGTGAAAAACTCCAGTGATGCTCATAGAGGGATTGTGTTATCAGGAAATAGAGTCATTTAAATCAATCTAAAATAACCAGACTGTGGTTTTAATGCAAAACTATGAAAAGCTACTTCAGTTGCATTCAACTCGCTATCTTAACAGATTCATTAAGAGAATCTCTCCATTTGGATTCTCGGTTTAAAAAAAAATATGCCTACATTAAAATTAACATGACCTATAAGCGCTGTGGAATATGTTGGCACTATATAAATGCCGTGATAAGTGTTAAGTGCCCATAGAAGATAAAAGATAAAATATAGAAAAAATATAAAAAAATAGTAAAAATATAAGAAAAAATAGTAAAATATTTAAAAAATTCTATTTAATTTGATGACATTTCATTCCTTTTTGCTCCATCTGCTGTCTAGTTAGAATAATAGAGAATGAGGCTTTGTAAATTACTTTTACTGCAAGACTTTCAAGCAGTTTATCTTTACATCTATATCTTCTATCTTCCTTTACATTCTGACAGACCTATACTCCAATTTATTCAACCATAGATATACTATTGAGCATTCTAAGCATCATAGTTTCTATGGACAGTATTTCCCTGACTAATTTCTAATTGCATCTATTAAGAGATAAGCCTTTTCAATTGATTTTTTAAAGTTACCTTTATTGGTTTGTTTTATTTTCCCATTTAGGACACACATTGCCAGTCCATAATAGGTTGATATTATATATAACATCTCTATATATCTCTTTAACAGGGTGTTTTCTCTGTAATTTGAGTCTTTCTCTTTAGTCAAGGATACTCACAAGGAGTATTATACTATTATATCAATATATATATATTTTTTTGTTTAGTGTACTGGATATTACAGATAGTGTTGCGGATACCTATAGAGCCAGACTCAATAAAGCTCCAGATAGACATCCCACGCTGAACATACTTTTATAATACCTGTACACTATCTATGTATTTTGGAGCAACTTTGAATCTCTTTATTATTATTTTCACTCTCTAGTCCTTATCGAATGGAGATTAGTTTGATATCTGTATTATAAGAATTCATGTGTATATAGCTAATATTTAATTATCATTAGACTACTTTATATTTCCAGGTAGCACAGCGAGTCACATTTGTCTTTGACACTGTGATAAGCATATTGTGTATTCTTTTGTTTTTTATATAACTTGGCACTGTAATGAACTATCTGACTGCCAATATACAACGTTTAAAGATATCACTGGTCGCCAGCATATGACATTTATAACACATCTCTGGTTGTCACTATTTCACACAGAAAAAGTGTCACTGGTTGCCATTATTATACATAGGGAAGATATCACTGGTTGCCAGTTCAGAACATGTGAGAGAAATTCCTGTTTGCTATCATTAAATATGTTAAAGCCATCACTTTTAGCCAGCATGAAACATAGGCAAAATACCATTGCTTGATATGGCCCTAGTTCCCTGTGGCTGGCAGGCTGCAGTATGGTGTCATTTTAGCCTATGCCCGACAGGAAAATCTTGCATTTTTAAGTATTTTAAAGTGGTCATGGTGCAAAGACCCGCCTGTGTATGCACTGTTTACTCCAAGTGTTTTATGGTGGTCCTAATACAAGGACTCACCTGTATGTGCACTATTTCAGTATAATATTCGATGTTGCTGCCGGAGGTGTAACTTAACCTCTTGCAGCCTCTATTATCCTGCACATATTGTTAACAATGTGCATATTCCATTCACTAGCTGAGAGGACTCAGCTGATACTCTCAACCAATGACTGAATGGCAATATCAACAATCACCTGTAGCGTGTGTTAACTTTTTTGCATGCGATGTTCCACTCTCTTTTAAGTTGATACCAGGGAAATTCACCCGAGTAAAGTTCCAAGGCACACATGCATTGGAGAAGAAGAAATAGAAAAAAAATTTCTGTGTCTCCAAACCTAGCCATGCACTCTCTATACTAAAAGGTGCAAATGGCAGCAGGGCTGGCCTTAGGCCTTTAGGCATCCTGTGCGAAAAATCTCGACAGCACCCACCCTTCCCTTCATCTATGTATAGTGTCTGTATAGGGCTGTAGTGTTTTTATAGGGAACAGTCATACACAGTTAGTAACACACACATTTACAGTCACACACACAGGCATACAGTCACATACACAGTTGCAATTAAACACACAGCTAGACAGTCACACACAGGCTGTAACGTACAACCCAACATGCAGAGTGAAAATCCACTATATATGGAGACAGAAAGTTCCTAAACCGGTCCTGGACGGAAAATAGAATATATTTCAAGGAAAGTCAGAAAGAGCCAAGGTCATGGGAAGCCAGAAATACACTAATACGAGAGACAAAAGCCGAGTCAGAGGAGCCAGAAATACACAAGTACAGTAACAAAGCCGAGTCAAGGGAGCCAGAAAACAGAGTAGTCGAGAGCAAGCCGGGTCAAAACCAATCAATACCAAAAGGGATAAAATAATGCGCAATAGGAACACTAGGAACCACAACAGGGCACTGTATTTTGGTTAGACTGGTATTTTATATGTTTGGGGGCATGGTTAGCAGCTCCTGTGACATCATGACAATGGCACGTGTGTGCCGCATTATAAAGAGGGGCGGGCGCATAGCAGTCGGTGTCCACGAGCCTTGTACTGTGTGGGAACGGCGGTCTGCCGGATCAGAGCGTCGGCATCTAGGCGGACCACCAGGGTATGCACGAAGGGGCAGAAAGTCACACATAGGCAGTCACACTGTCAGGGTGGCGGTACGGTGCCAGGGACCCAGACACTGCCTGGGCGGCGGTGCGAGGACTGGGACCCAGTATGCCTGATGTTCAGAGTAGGAGTCACAGTGTGGAGGTGGATTAGCAGGGTCTGGTGCAGGGTAACCCCACGCCCACTGGTGTTGAGCACCAGCGTTTGTGCAGCCACATACCAGAACCCTGATGCAGCTTCAGCGGATCCCAGGAACAAGGAGCAGGAATTAAGCAGACCTCCCAGAGCTGAATAGGGAGGCTCTGCAGCAGGAGTGTATCCAGTACAGAAACAAGGCAAGACTAGAGATGGGCACCAAACATGGAAACAAGACAGAACTAATAGAACACAGAACCAGAGAAGGATAGGAAGCTAAACCCAGAACATGTACACAAGACATGAGGGAAACATGAACATAACATGGGCATGACTGGACAGGACTGTACATGGACTGGGTATACAAACTAAAACAAGACAAGATAAGATAGGCAAAACAAGAGGAGAAATAACTAAGCCCTATATATGAAAATCATGGGGATTTAGTCACATTATATGATCATACATTGAATAAGCCTGCCAACAACGCCAATGTACCTCATATCTGGCAGGTCCTACTCTGCCTAATGCAAGCTAAACCAACCAAAGAAAACACTCATAGTACTTATCTGAAAGAAAGGGCAGAAGACTTGAGCAGCTGCCTGCAGGAACACTGAAACAAAAGGAATGATGGAAAACAAACAGGCGTGGCAACATAAAACAAACATTTAAAAGGAACCCTGGAGACTGGGAATTCCCGGGACGAAATACAGGAATGAACCCAGAGAAACCCAGCATAAAGAAAACCAGACATAGAATAGAAAACCAAAAAAAAGAAAAACTAAACAAGAATTGTAAAAAGAGTACTGGATACCAGAAGCCATAGCCAGAATGATCCGCAGCTAGGAACAGGATGTGACACACACACAGGCAGACAGTAACATACAAGCAGACAGTCACACACATGCAAACAGTCACACACACTCAGAGTGACACACAGGCACAGGTAGTCACCAGGGCCGTCTTTAATACTATTTGGACCCTGGGCAAACATTGGCTTGGGCCCCCTGGACCCTGTCGTCCCCTCCCTGGCATGCAATCAAGCCCCCTAGGGGTCTGGTGCATTAATTATTTTCCATAAGAGGGGGCAAAAGGTAGATCCCCCATCTGTCGTGTAACTCCAACAGTGCTTTGACAGCTGGGGCTCTACCATTTTCCCATGCATGCAGGATTGATTGTATTTAGCACTGAGCAGTATTTGTGTGTTTGAGTGTAAGCATGTTTTTGTATGGAGTATGTTTGTGTGAATGTCGGGGTGTGTTTGTATGTGGAGATGGCATTTGAATGCAAGGATGCATTTATGTGTAGTGTTGGTTTATGAATGCACTGGTGTGTTTATATATAATTTTGTTGTTTTGTTTAAAAAAAGAGGTGTGTTTATATGTAGTGTTGAAGTTTGAATACAGGTGTGTATTTGTGTGTAGTGTTGGCGTTAAATGCTAAGATGTATGCACGTATACACCTGCACTGCCACAAACACACACACACACACACACACACTGTGATACACATATACACACACACACACACACACACACACACACACACAGAGAAACACTTGCAGACACACAGATATTATCAATCGTACAGATGCAGCCATACAGACACAATTACACACACTGACACACACACAACCTGACACACATGCTGACACACACATGCACACACATGCAGATACACTGACAATATACAGATACACAGACACACACAAGGACAACATACAGACACACAGATACATAACCTGACAAATGCAGATACAAACACTGACACACATGCAGATACACACATTGGCTACATACAGATACATGCACAGGTATGCACACTGGCATATACACAGATACATACATATTGACAACATACAGATGCCACACACACACTGACAACATACAGATACACACACTGACATGCTCACACAAACAGATATACTGACACACACAGACACACTGTGACAGACATACTGACACACACATACTGACACACACACACACACAGACATACATACTGACACACACACACACAGACATACTGACACACACACAGACATACATACTGACACACACACACACAGACATACTGACACACACACACAGACAGTCTTCAGTTTCCTACCTTTGCAAGAGGCTTCCTTCCCTGGGGTCCCGTGTGCTGGCTGAGGCGGGTGGGAGTTGGGGGTCTGGCTCTCCTTGCTCCCCCTCCTCACAGGATCCTGGCTCAGCCTCCCGCGCGGCCCGATGTCTTTGAGGTGGGAGGAAGTGATTCACGGACGTCACTTCCTCCCATGCAGCCGTTAAGCAAGGGGCCCGGTCGCGCTGTTAAAGGGCCACAGCGCAGACTGGACCCCCTTACACTGTGGGCCCACTAGGGAAATCATTTTTTTTCATGTGGGCGGCGGGAACACGGGGCAGCTGCTTTGGGCCCCCCAGGAGTAACTGGGCCCGGGCAGCTGCCCCATTTGCCCCGTGTTAAAGACGGCCGTGGTAGTCACACACACTGTTGCAGTCACAAACACAGGCAGACAGTCACACACACACAGTTACAGTTACACAATCAGAAAGTCACACACACAGGCAGACAGTCACACACACACAATTACAGTCACACACACAGGCAGACAGACACAAACAGTTATAGTCACACACACACAGGCAGACAGCCACACACACAGGCAGTCAGTAATACAAACAGGCAGTCAGTCATACAAACAGTTACAGTCACACACAGTTACAGTCAGACATGCAGAGATGCATTGAAACAATGTATCTCTATGGGGAAAGTCTAGCGTCTCCATGTGCACAGCTTCCCCTGTGATATATTTGATAGAGAGGATGGACATATAAAGCAGCAATGAATGCAAATCACAGTAGATCTAAGAGACTACAAGCAGGCAGATAAGGGACAAGGACCTTCTTACTGAACCTTAGTCATGTTGAGGACATAATTCTTACCTTAAATTCCGGTACACTATGTTCCTAAAACACAATGTTTTGAGAATGTATATATAGTGCTCTATCTTCAAATTGAAACACTGATAAGTAGACTATTAATCTTTATCATAGATCTCTGCTTCTAATTAAAGGAATAACCGAGTCTTGCTTTAACAAATGTGCCATGAAATGCGTGGATGGTTAATAAGTTTCCCTCTAGAAAATGAGTTCGAAGTAATTAAAGCTGCCTGGATAATGTCACCATTTGAAGAAATGCAGCAAAGGTTGCCAGTTTATCCCGACCATAGAATATACATAATCCATCTAAATGATCTTTTATATTACAGTTAGTGGATAAAAAATGTTTCCTTTTTTTTGTTTCAGAGGTTTAATCAACAACTAATTTATTTTAGATGCTGTATTTTTTTTTTTACAATTGATTTGAATATGAGATGTGTTAAATGACACCTTCTTGTGACAACTGGTACAAGCACCAACTACAGGGAGTGCAGAATTATTAGGCAAGTTGTATTTTTGAGGATTAATTTTATTATTGAACAACAACCATGTTCTCAATGAACCCAAAAAACTCATTAATATCAAAACTGAATATTTTTGGAAGTAGTTTTTAGTTTGTTTTTAGTTTTAGCTATGTTAGGGGGATATCTGTGTGTGCAGGTGACTATTACTGTGCATAATTATTAGGCAACTTAACAAAAAGCAAATATATACCCATTTCAATTATTTATTATTACCAGTGAAACCAATATAACATCTCAGCATTCACAAATATACATTTCTGACATTCAAAAACAAAACAAAAACAAATCAGTGACCAATATAGCCACCTTTCTTTGCAAGGACACTCAAAAGCCTGCCATCCATGGATTCTGTCAGTGTTTTGATCTGTTCACCATCAACATTGCGTGCAGCAGCAACCACAGACTCCCAGACACTGTTCAGAGAGGTGTACTGTTTTCCCTCCTTGTAAATCTCACATTTGATGATGGACCACAGGTTCTCAATGGGGTTGAGATCAGGTGAACAAGGAGGCCATGTCATTAGATTTTCTTCTTTTATACCCTTTCTTGCCAGCCACGCTGTGGAGTACTTGGACGCGTGTGATGGAGCATTGTCCTGCATGAAAATCATGTTTTTCTTGAAGGATGCAGACTTCTTCCTGTACCACTGCTTGAAGGTGTCTTCCAGGAACTGGCAGTAGGACTGGGAGTTGAGCTTGACTCCATCCTCAACCCGAAAAGGCCCCACAAGCTCATCTTTGATGATACCAGCCCAAACCAGTACTCCACCTCCACCTTGCTGGCGTCTGAGTCGGACTGGAGCTCTCTGCCCTTTACCAATCCAGCCACGGGCCCATCCATCTGGCCCATCAAGACTCACTCTCTTTCATCAGTCCATAAAACCTTAGAAAAATCAGTCTTGAGATATTTCTTGGCCCAGTCTTGACGTTTCAGCTTGTGTGTCTTGTTCAGTGGTGGTCGTCTTTCAGCCTTTCTTACCTTGGCCATGTCTCTGAGTATTGCACACCTTGTGCTTTTGGGCACTCAGTGATGTTGCAGCTCTGAAATATGGCCAAACTGGTGGCAAGTGGCATCGTGGCAGCTGCACGCTTGACTTTTCTCAGTTCATGGGCAGTTATTTTGCGCCTTGGTTTTTCCACACACTTCTTGCGACCCTGTTGACTATTTTGAATGATACGCTTGATTGTTCGATGATCACTCTTCAGAAGCTTTGCAATTTTAAGAGTGCTGCATCCCTCTGCAAGATATCTCACTATTTTTGACTTTTCTGAGCCTGTCAAGTCATTCTTTTGACCCATTTTGCCAAAGGAAAGGAAGTTGCCTAATAATTATGCACACCTGATATAGGGTGTTGATGTCATTAGACCACACCCCTTCTCATTACAGAGATGCACATCACCTAATATACTTAATTGGTAGTAGGCTTTCGAGCCTATACAGCTTGGAGTAAGACAACATGCATAAAGAGGATGATGTGGTCAAAATACTCATTTGCCTAATAATTCTGCACTCCCTGTAGAAAGGATGCTTGTCTGGATCTCGTTATAACAAACAATGTTGATCTTTTGATCAACATTCAAGTAGGGGAGCATTTG